GTGTGTGTGTGTGTGTGTGTGTGTGTGTGTGTGTGTGTGTGTGTGTGATTACTGACTGTTTGGGAGGGAGTGATGGGGGATATTAAACGATTCAAATGCTGTCTCCCTTGCTCTCCTCCACTGGAGAGACCTAAGACTGCAGCATGGCCACACACACACACACACAAACACACACAAATACTGGGCCAGTCTTATCGTCAGACAGGCCAATTTAAAAACACACACTGCCAATTAACGGAGAGGCAGCATAGTTTCAGTGTGGACATTGTTGTAGAGCAGCCTGCACAGACTACGTGGATATGTATATGTTTTTGTGTGTTTATCTGCGTTTTATTGTGAGCAAATTGCTTGTTTTAAGAACCGGAGGAACAAAGAAAGTGGATGAATCGTCTGCGCTCCCTTTTCAAATGTCCACAGCTATCTCCCTCTTTTTTTTTTTTTACTAACGATTACTGACCAAAACACAATCTCCCGCAGGATAAATGCATGCTATTGTCCTTAAAGTAAGTTGCCCAAAAATAAACAAAATCACGCAGACAGAAGATAATGACGAACAAAAAACGCGCGCCGATAGAAAAGCCCTGGGGGTGAAAATAAATAGCCACAAGAAACAAAGACGGCGATCAATTTGGTTAGTGTGGATGCTGCAAGCTGACAGGAGGATTGAGGTCTGATTCACAACCTGTTTGCAGAAACCTAAATATTTGCTTTACTTGTTGTTCACTGGCATTTATTGCTTTCTTATGGCACCCTTGATACGTTTAGCAGAACCTTTGTAGCCTAGCGCTAAGTGCAATCCTGGGATGCCTACCTTTATGTACACTACCATTCAATGCTTTTTACTGCGCAGTGATTCTGGACAATCATGCTCTACTATTTAAATGGCCGCACAAACCTGGATGCCTCCAGGTTTTGCACTCGGCCCCTTTACAGCCTCAAGGAAGTCTGCCAAAGCGCAATAACTCTTACTTCCTGCAGTTCATCTCATTAAATATAAGCCGAAAGTCCCACAGGGAATGATGTGACCAGTATTCAGCGGGAGTAAATGTCTCAGAGCCAGATGTACATGAGACATTTTTCATGATGGACATTAAAACTTGTCCAACGCAGGTGGTAAGTAATGACATTTTTAGTGGCCACATTCCATTAAAATGTTCCATCTATGGTGCCAAGACATGGTTGATATATGCAGGCTTATTGGAGCACCTACATGGAATAAAGCCATCGTCATTGGCGGACGGAAAACTTAAAAATGTTTAACTCCGATAAAATTATGACTTTGCAGACTGTGCACTGACTTCATAAGGTGATGGCCTTCAAAGCTCATTGCCAAAGAATGTTGATATTGGATGATGCTGCAAAACTCAAAATTATGGCAACGTTTGTTTAGTTTTCTTCACAGCCAATGCAAATGTTTTTTTCAAATTCTTGCTTTCTAAAAATGAAACGGACAAATGGCAGCTACATGTTTGTTTAGAGTCAGCTGCCGGTCGATTTCCTGTGGTCGGACATGTTGGTCCTGTTTCATCGAGGAAAAACTACACCCTGAACTGGATCCGAACATTATCACTGGATGTAAATCGTTGGGTGTAGAATTGTCAAAACGAAATATAATTCCTGAGATACTAGGCTGGGGCCTTCAGGATACGAGTAACTGATGTATATGCTCCCAATGTTTGTCTCCACGTCAATGATTCATTGTTGTGACGTAAAGTAAAATGCATGATACCTTGCATCCCTTAAAATCAAGAGAAGGGTCTACAGCCATGCTATCGGCTCAGTGAGGCTGCACTTACGGAATACAGCCACAGAGGTGTTTTGAGCTAAATGCTAACGTCAGCCTGCTAACAAGCTCACAATGGCAACGCTGATGCTAGGCAGGTGTAATGTTAACCATGTTTATCATCTTAATTTAGTGCATTGTCATGCTAACACTTGCTAATAAGCGCTAAACACAAAGTACAGCTGAGGCTTATTAGCAGAATGTCATTGGTTTTGTCACTTAAAACCATAAATGTGAATGTCACGGTGGCGCTAGAGGAAAAGTCAGGGGATCAACGAAGACATTAGCAAGCATTGAGCTTGAGTCGTCATCACTACCTCATGAAATACTGGACCGATGCGTTCATGGATAGTCATTAAGCATTTGATAGCTGCACCCATACTGTGCGCTGCAAACTGAAAGGTACATACAGCCGACGTTGTAGAGTGTGCTGGTAATTTCTCAGAGTGTTTGACTGGTGTTTGTTCACTGACGGTCATTTACAGTTGAAGATTGTTGATTGAGGAGCTGTTTGTTGCCTCGTTGAGATGATGCATCTTTGCAGCCGCTGTTCAAACTCTGTCAAGTGTTACATTAACTCATATAGGTGGATGACTGATTGAAAATGTAAAGATGAACATCCATTCCAGTTTTTCTAAATGAGAGCAATACTGTTCATTGTTGCTGTAATGTGAAGTCAGAATTTTATTATACAGCATACTGTTTACCGTGCTTCTACTGCATGTAAATAGTTATCTCATTTTTCTTTCTATATATTATTATGAAGGCTAGCTGGTTCTGCATTTTAACTGAGTGTCAGACCATTAACACAAGAGGTCTGGCTGTGGCTTGAGCCGTGGGCTACAGCAGCCCAGACACTGAAAGGTTAAATACTACATTCTTTGAAAAGAAAGGTAGAATTACCCTCGAGCTAAGTTAGCTTTGGGGCAACCATGCAAATTTTAAGTTGTCATGTGCAAGCATCCTTCAATAGAAGCGGTGACACATCTTCTGGCTATCCACATGGAATCCAACAGAGTAAACCCACTTTTAATGCAGGAGACACAAATATGAGGCAGCTCTACTCAATGCACGATTAACCCCCGTTTGTCCCCTTTCACATAAGAGATTAATCCTTGTGGTCATGGCTATGGCAACGGGGGCAGGTACACGCTGCGATCGGTAGCTCCGATGGATTTTGCTACATTTTTGTCTTAATTTGTTGTCTTTTTGTCTTTACTGCTGGAGCTCTAATGGCATATGACAGAACACGCTCATCAACATTGGAGAAGGAAGCTTGAGGATTGGATTCATTCGTGGGGAGTGGACCTTGAGACGATAACTGCCCACGGCTGACCAGCGAGCCAGACCTGCCGGGCCAAACGCCACTGAAGCGGAGTTGAGAGGGAGGAGAGCCGAGATGATGAAACTAAGCCAACCAAGCTAGGACCTAAAACTCTTCCACCACCCGATCTGGTCCCTGGCCAACTCAGCAACTGGAGGTCGGTGAATGTTGAGCCCACATCTTTACACAGACCTGGCTCCATTGTAGCATCCCGGATCAAGCGGATCGAGAGGAGGCGGACTCTGTTTACATCAATGATGCTTGGTGCTTGAACATAGTCCAAGTTGATGGACGGTGTTTCCCTGATGTCTAATTTTTTATGTGAAGATGTCGGCCATATTGCCCAGAAAATTGTTTTGTTGCTGCTGTTTGCATTCCTCCTGATGCTAATTTTAAAAAACGCATATGTACTACTGTTTTTGTTTTGTTGTTTGTCATGTTTTTACTTGTGTATCGAATCGACTACAACTGCATTTTGTTTGTGCAACCCTGTGTTGCAAAATGACAATACATTGTCCTTGAATCCTTGTCTCTACAGAAGCTCCCAACTGTAGCTGCATAAACACAAAGCCTGTTTACCAAAGCCAGCGTCCGACACTTGTTTAACCGAGGTCAAGAGTCGGGTCAAGAAGCCAAGTCGGACGGTCGGACGGTGACCCATTTCGGCAGACCGCGATCACAGTTTTAACCTGCGTCACTGCGTCAGTCTGAAAAGGGAATCAGGGAGAGCTGAAGAAGTCCGCTCAACTCAGTGCTCCACTGGGGGGAAATCTTATCTTTCATCCACACAAGTGCTCACTTTCAAATTTGGCTCAGCCAGCTGTCTAACTATCTATAATGCAGTAGGAGGAACTCCAGGGCGATCAATAGCCCCTTGATGATATTCTGATTATTAAGGATCGTTGGAATGATCCGGAAACTGCTAAAACCAAAACACTCCGCATGTAAGTAAAAAATGGATGATGATGGACAACTGGAGGACTTCAAGTGACTTTAATATTCAGACAGCAGACTCACGCTTGTGGTTGTTCTTGCGCTGGAAGGGTAGTGTGTGTCGCTCCGAGTCTTCTTCCCCCTCCTCATCTGCCAGGTGTGTGTGAGTGTAATGGTAACTCAGCCCTGGGCGGTTCTTATAGCGCTTTCCACAGACTGTAACACACACAAACACACACAGTGTATAAAATGAGTTATCTGTAAAAGTATGAGGAGAAACAGGAATAAAGAAATAAAGTTGCAACGCTCACTGTCACAGACGTAGGGCTTGTCTCTGTCTTCAATGGCAGCCGGCTCTTGTCTCTTCCTCATGCCCCCGACACCATAGGCCTGCAGAGACCCCCCCCACACACACACACACACACACAAACACACACACACACACTTGTGAGAACTCAGACAGCCACATGCAAAATCATACATGTACTCAAGATACAAACAAAAAGTTTAAACTTCAACACTTGTTACACAAGTCCTGCAGACACACACACACACACACACACACACATGATAAAAACAGCGTGACAGCACACTCTTCACTTGTGTGTTCAAGTGTCTACACACACATACACACATGCTTGCATTCTACTGTAATCATCTGCTCTCAGTGTAAAGCTCCACTTCCAGCAGGAGGGGGCTGATGACACCTAGCAGGGGAGCAACAGCTCCAATTAGCAACCCTGGTGTCTGTGTGTGAGCATGTGTACGTGTGTGATGATTTTCAGAATACATTGTTAACACTTGATTATCTTCCCATAAGACACCCAAAAAGAGAGTGTGTGTGTGTGGGGACCCTGTTTGATCTAATCAAAGTTGTAAAAAAAGAAAAAAAGGTTGTCTCAGCATGATTTCAAATCTCTGAAAGCATTTGCATGTATTAATAATTGTTGCAGACTCAGGAATACGGAGAAGTCAAAGTCACAATAAATTAAACCTATCATAACCTCACACCAGAAAAACAAAGTGCCATTTCTGTAGATGCAATTAGTACAATGTCTCCATGTATATACTGTATTGGAATAAAGGCTTTAATTTAATACTTCTAAGATTCATTTCGACACCAGCAACACAGGGCTCTTACACTATACTCTTATATGTGTTGTGCAAATGTAGCAGATTCCATTTAAATCAGAATAACTGAAGGGCTGTCATTTTATAGTGTAATCTAAATCAGTACTCCTTATGCTCTGTGTCCGACAGGCTGAACTTTCACATCGCAGTTTGACTCCGAGCTTGATCCGGGTCAAGTCGGCAGACTTTCCGAGCGTCACTCTTCTGCACTAACAGCCAAACAGTTTATATTGTGGCTAATTGTTCAGGATAAAATGACCAGGGGAGAAAAAAAGAGATGAATATTGAAATATCATTTGTGCTTTACCCGTGCTTTGGTACGGTTCTTGCGTTTCGGGACGTCTTCCTCTATCTCGTCCCCCTCCAGCTCATGAGGGAAATCCCCGACCAGCAGCTTCTACGGACGAGAGACAGAGAGACAGAGAGACAGATGGACTGTCAGAGAGGTAAGTTAGTTTCCTTTCCTTTATTTACCTTTTCCTCTCTTTTCTTTGCTTTCCTCTCAACCATCTCGGCCTCTACTTGCTTTTGTGCTGCTCCGCATGAAATTGCACGTCTTCCTGCTGATTTTGAGAGTATTTGCATAATCCCACTGCAGGAAACAACCTTAAGAGCAGAACCATTGCATTACTAAATATAGCCAAATGTGTCACCATTTAATTGCAATAAAAGATGCGGTTAAAGACTTCCTCAATTAAAGGGGTGCACCACGCAATTTAGGATTGCACTTCTATATGTCAGCAGACTCACAAGAGGCACATTAAAAAAGATAATAAAGCAGCAGAGGCCAAGATATCCCTATTCTTCGTCCTTAATATGAGTAAAGCTCCAAAAACACTGGATCTCACATCTCCCATAATGCAAAAATTGTCTACAGCTGTTTTCACAGGCTTTGTCGTGCGCCTCAGGACAAATACACTGAACTTCATGTTACGGTGGACTCTTTACGACAAGAGGGTTTTAGTTTTTCTTGTCCTCAGTGAAGGAAAATAAAAGGTTTATTTTCTAAAAAGACTGGGAAACATCTGAAGATGATAAGCAGCGAGGGAAGAGCTGAGTGTGCGCATGACTGGCTGGGCTGGAGTCAGGGGAAGCCCCGGATTAGAGGCCCCAAAAACTTCTCTATCTCTCTAAGGGCCACTGTGAGGACCATTCACTCAACAGCTGATTGATTAGCTGTCCGTCTGAATACTAGAGCAACTGCCTCGAGCTGGTGAAATACTCCAGCCAGATGGGCAAGTTTTCGCTCAGAAGTTACTGAGTGCAACATGCTGCATAAACGTCCCTCAAATAACAGCTCACAAGTTCGGCCTGTAAAACACGTGAGCGGAATCCCGGTAAAACACCGAGAATGACTGCAGTGCAGTCACACACAATTACAAGCACACACTCACGCACACACACTTGTGACCCAGTGCCAGGAGGGAGCTGTCAGAGCTGCGGGAGCTTGTGTCAATGCCAAAACACACACTCGGAGAGAGAGAGACAAAGGCAGAGAAAAAGACAAAGACACACAAACACAGACAGCCTGACATACGAACAAGACACAGGGAACAACAAAGTACAGAAGAGAGGAAATGAGAGAGAGGGAAGAAAGAGAAACGAGAGTCTCACCTGACACTCGCTCATTGGCTCTTCTTCCTTGGTTTCTACCTTCTTGTCCAGGGTTTCCCCGGCGAGCAGCGACTCCAACACGGGACCATCTGGGACGCCCCCCTCCTTCTTTAGAGAAGCCTCGTAGTCTGGAGAACGAGACAGTCGCAATCAGAAAACAGCAGAAGTCTCTCATTCACGCTGACATGCTCAGTTGAGCTGACAGTGCCCCGAGGAAACTGAATGTGGCTGCTTCATGACGGCACAAGGACTTCTGCAGCGTACAGACGCTGAAGTGATCCTCTGTAATATGTCTAAAATACCATATGTTTGTGTATTGCTTGTCATTTCATACAACCACCTTGTAGAGTGTAAGTAAATAAGCAAAAAGTTCAATTTTATTCTGAATTGTTTAACTAAAAACTATGGCTATGCATAAAACTGTCTTTTAATTATGAACAGAGCTGTGAGCCATTTCTGTAAGTGTTAAAGTTATTTCAAAATTAGAAGAAAGTGGATGTGATGTGCAGCCAAACATTGGTCAAATCCACAGAACATTTTTTAAATACCCAATTCCAAGTTATGTGACACCATCGTAGGATGTGGAATAAAGATGGATTTTTTTAAACCAGTATCAATCGCACAACTCTGTCAATGGTAAAAGTTATCAAAAAATTGCTCGTTAATTACCGATCTTGAACTCGATCGGTACAAGCCGCGGGTCCTCCAGGATGTTTAGCCGTCTCTTCTTCCGCCAGCAGCGAGCGGGATATGTGTACAACTGACCTGGAGCATGACCTGAAACACAGAGGAATACAAACACAGCTCGGTTACAAGACACGCTGCCACGATCCGGACGTTAGTTAGTGAATGAAAGCACGAAAAATGGATGATAAGATGAATAGATAGTCAGAGTCTGATGTGCTAGAATATTAACATTCAAAATGTCTACATTTACACAAAGCAGTGAGTTGAGATAAACGCCAACACATCATAGTTTATTGTAGTACCGCTAAGGATGACGGGAATGACGTTCGTTTTTCCGGTGCTTTCAGATATCACAAAAGTTATAGAATTTAACCTGAGAGAGACGTAAACTTCTGAACCAAATTTCATTTAAATTTGATCCAATGGAGACATTTCAGTCTGCACCACAAAATGGGAAAGTCATAGTTAATTGGGGCATTCATTATCTGGGAACCATGAATTACTGTATAAAAGTCTTAATCCATCTAATAGTTGAACTGTCTGAACTCTTGCATGGCTATAAAAGGCTTTGGCGTAAATGGCTGTATGTTATGGTCTTGTACATGTTTCCTCACCAAAGATGTGTCATTATTAATACAGTTTTTAAATATAAACTACTTTTTGTTGGTTTTGGAAAATAATCAGCCATTAAAAATGCATCAAATAGTAATAAAAATGTAATCTTTAACTCATGCAACTCTATTTAATTCAACACTATTCTATGCAAATGCAAGTTATAACCAAAAACTAACTAACTAACAAACAGACACCAAGCAAAGCCTACAAACTCAAAACGTTAACACACTCATGCACAAGTTCACACACACACACACACACACACACACACACTCTCTCTCTGGAAGAGTTGGTGCCAGCGGCGTATCATTGCCTACAGGGTTGTCTGATTCACTGCCAAAATACACTGATGTTACAGAGAAAGAGAGAGCGATGAGGAAACAACCGTTGGGGAAAGTAAAGAAAGAAGTTAAGGTGTGAAAGGTAGGAGGCCTGGAAACGAGGGGGGAGGAAATGAGGGAGAGGTGAGAGGAAAAAGGAGACGAGAAACAAGCAGAGCAGAGGAAGGGGAATGAAGCTGTGAGACGAATGACGCAGAGAAAATAATTTGTTTAGCACAACAGCTGGTAAACGCAACACAACAAAGAAGAGAGCTCTGAAGAGCTTCTCAAGCCTCAGCCAGCCACTTTATCCTGACACGGTATGAAAACACACACACACACACCCTGAGAGACACACACCTGGTCCGCGGTGGTTCTTCTCCATCCAGATGTAGCAGTTGCTCTGGGCCACGCCGGTCTGGGAGTCCAGGAAGGGGAGACGCATGGAGCGCTCTGCGCACAGACGGGCATTGTAGCTGCGACAGTGTTCAATGGCCTCCTTATAGAACTCCTCACCAAGACTGAGAGGATAAAGACAGGAGGAAGAGGAGGAGGAGGATGAGGGAGAATAGAAAGAAGGAGGGTGTGTGACGGGGTCAAAGGTGAACGCCAAAGAGGGAATACAGTCCAAAATTAGCAAGCACAATGGTGTGTGTTTGTGTGAGTCATAAAAAGGGAGTTTCATGGACAGGTGTAGGGCAAGTGTGTGTGTGTGTGTGTGTGTGTGCAAGCACAAATAAGAATCCACGGTGACACAGTTGTCCCAGACACTTTAAATGTCCTTTTTCAGTTTTATCCTTGATTTTAACTCTTGAAGTCCCTAAGTGACACATACTGAACATCCTGGTGAGGTCATGTGACAGTGAGTTCGTTTGTGTACCAATGACATCACTTCCAAAATGGCTGCCTGGCTGGTGAGCACATTTGGCAGAACTAGCCAAGAGGAGTGCATTTATACGTAAACGCCCATCGTGACATATCTAACATTTCAGATCCTTGACTCTAGAGGGTAGTATTTAGAAAATATTTTCAGAAATGTGTTACACGTGTTTCATTTAGTCTGTTTTATATCCCCCATATTTTGTTCTGGGTTCTTATGGGTTAAACACACTTCTAAGGGTTGGTGCACGTGTGTAAAGCCAAAAGGGGCATCGCCTGGTCAATCATGAGCAGTTATGGTGTGATTGAGGGTGTGTGTGTGCGGTCATATTAACCTGGGTCACAGCAGACGACCGCACTGTTCAAGCCACACAGTCACACACATGGAAGTTACAGTAACACATTTTTCACCGTGAGGACAATGTGTGCACTCATTGCACTGTATCTTCTCACCTGTACAAGTGTGAGTTTGATTAAGATTCAGTGTAATATTCTTCTCTTTGTTCCTCCCTCCCTCCCTCCCTCCCGTCTCCCCTCCTCTCTCTTACCTGTTCTTGATGACTGCACCTCCAGATTGCCTGTAGGGAGAAGAAGAAAAAGGGAAAAAAATGATAGATGTGTGGTGAGTCACTGCTCCTCTCCCCCCTACATCCTCTCTCACTCCCTCTCCACTTCTCAGTCTTTTAAAGAAATCTCTTTTTCCGTCTTTTTTCTTCCGATTATCTTGTTGTTGTTGCATGTTTACCTTTCACACTTTGCCCATTTCTCGCTGCACTTCTTCTTTGTTATTTGCATGTTCCTTCGCACTTCTCTGTCTTCTCTTTGTCTCTCTTTCCTGTTAATCACTCCTCTCTAGTGTCTTCCTGCTGAGTGCAGCCATCAAGGTCACAATACAGACGGTAGATACAGGACACAGTAAACTACAGCGACACACATACGCACAGAGCTACAGTGCTGGGACAACAGCGTCCTCACAAATACAGTGCAGTGCAGCCGATTTAGCATTGCATAACAGTGTCAGACCAGAGATATCGTTCTTTTTAATCTATGCATTTTTCTTCCCTTTCCAAAACCTGCTGCCTACCTTACCCACAATGCAACTCGACTGCTGACAGTTCAATCAGAGATTCAGGTACGTTATGCTCGAAAGAGGAGCGAGTTTCAGGTTTCTTTTTGTTGAGATAACTTGAGATAACTCCACAAACACGCATTTCTTTTTCGATTTCAAATTTGTGTTTTCAGCCCTGACTCAAGTGACTTGAGGACGTTTATCTGACTTCATGCAGCTCCCTCTGGAGCCACAAAAGGTTTGATCTCAATCTCCAACACCTGAAAACTCACTTTTGATGTGTAGCATAGAGGCTGCATCTAAAGGAATCTGGCAAATAATGACAGAAAATAAATTAAAAGGTGTACAACTTTAATTTGGTGACGATTGGATCAAATTTGGTAATTTAAAATTGCAAACTCATCCTAATGGATTCATCATGATCTAATAGATCCAGTGGAAAAATAATTAGATTTTAAAGCCACAAAATGCCCGAAACGCAAAAAAAGAATTTCATATTTTAGCTTTATCTGCATCAAATCTAACCAGTTCCCTCTTGGCCCAAGCCTTCAATTTGTCCAAGATTTTACTGAAATCTGTGAAATCATTTTTTTGTTTTTTAATATCTGCTAATTAACAGACGAAAAGGTACTTATTGAAATCTGCCACTACAACACACTACAACAAACTCTCAAGGTACAAACAGAACAGATCATCATCTTTGAGCAGAGGAAAAGCAAAATTAAGATGTGACTTTTTGACAAGACGCTCAAACGGAAAGAGGATTATCTACACTTTAATATCCTCAAACTGGATAAAACTTGTGAAAATGTCAACAACAATCAACTGTCCTGGTTAGTATAAGGACAAATTTAACTCCCGTAAGACCCAGCAGATGCTGGTGAGGTCTGACAGCTTGTGCGTCGACATCTTCAAAACCTCCTGAACCAGTTCTGCAACCTTGCGGGCCATCGCTGGATGTGTGACATTTAAAGGATGGGATCCGGGTGTCAATATGTGTCGTTTGGAATGGACTGCTCGCCTTCTGCTGAAGAGGATGTGTTTCTGTGCAGCTCGGCGCCTGCAATCGGCTGAGCATTTGACAAATAGAGTATTTGAATGGCGACGTTGGAGGTACGTCACTTTTCCTCAACTCGCTTCACTTTGCTTTAGTGCTTTGCAAGCGGTCCTCCGTGTAGTTTACAATAAGCTGAAGACGAACTGAGCGGGGTAGAGGCCTGTCCAGAGAGAAGCAGCCACTGTGGATAAAAGCAACACCTAAATGCTTCATTTAAAGTCAGAGTTTGTACCTGCAGAAGTACACCTATAAATAGTGATGAGGAGGGAGAATAAAGGCTCACACACTGAGAGGTGCTCTAACAGTCACAAACACAGGTTCAGAAAGCCTTACATGCTTCTTTTTTACATACTACAGTAAGGCGAACATGGTGAAAAAAAGACTTGGACTTCCAGGCTCCACTAGTGACCAAAGTGAAAAACCAGAGGAGGAAAAAAGACAACATTCAAAATGTAAAACAGCTCATCACCTCTGAGCCCCCCCTCCTGCCTCAGCAACTCTCTCACTTCAAAACCAGCTCTCCTTCATCCCTACATCACCTTCATTCCTCTCTCCTCCGCCGGAGAATGAGCCGGTCCCCTCTCGATAATAAGTTGACAGCTGTAGAAAATGGCTTCTTTCAATTTGGGTGCTCCCAATCTCATTATATTGTGATAGGAGAGCTGCATGACTGTTTGCCTATTTGGTTGCTCGCACGGGAGAAGAGCTGAGGCACTCTAAGTGGAGGCTGAGAGGGAGATATACGCAAAGAGGAAGTTGGGAGAAGATATTTGAAGAAAGAGGGAAGGAGGATGAGATGAGCAGAGGAGAGAAAACGAGAAAGAGGAAAGTGACATCCAACGAGGGAGAGGCAGAAATATATGGGGAGGAAAGGGGTGAGAAGAGGAAGGGAGACTAAATGAGAGAGAAGATGGACAAAGAGAGAGATAACTCTGCAGTAACAGAGCAGGACGACCTGTGAAAAGACGTGACTCGCTGATAACACTTCATCTTTAGCTCGCTGTCGTTTAAAAGAGGGGCTAACGGCACATTTCTCTGCACCATGAAACCCTTAATTCAGCAGCAAATAGCCACCAGAGGAAATCAGACTCTCAACATCAATTTGTAAAATAATAATCTTCAGCTCTTGGAGTTGATTCAGAAATCACAGTGAAGGGGTGGCAACGGCGGAAAGAGCGTGATCAGCAAACATTTCTTAGAATGCAATCTTTCATTGTGCAATATGGGCCTGAATAGCAATGAAACATCCCTATTCTTCAATCAGCACCGTGTTACTCCCACATGGATCTGAGTGGGAGACTGAGACTGCTTTAAAGGTGCTGAATTCAATATTGTGAGCAGAGGGATTGCCTCCCCACAGTTCTCAACATGGTGGCAGCTGAGCTGGCGGCTTGCAGCTAACAGTGCAAACAACGGCAATAGTGCTAACAGTGTTTACCTAGGGGGGAAACCAGAGGGTTGGCTCCACAGACTGTATATAAGAAGTAAACGTAGTCGTCGTAACATCACTCATTGGTTTGTAGACTGCCGTTTTGAAGCCTTACGTTCGGCAATTTGGACGGCGCCATCTTGGCTTTTGTCAACCAATGAATAGAGGTTACCATATTTGGACTGCGGAGGAGTGACGTACAGATGCTGTATACGTCTCTGGTAATGCCAATGACCTGTCAATCCCAGTAAGCCAGCCCTAAAGCATACCCTGCTTTATTTACATCACGCTGTGTTGAAGAAGACTTGAAACTATAGATTCAGTAAAACACAGAAAGTTTAGAACATAAAAGCGACATCCAGCTGTACGAAGGATCATATAAATGTTTGACGAAAGTGCACATTAGATTACTCGAAACTCATGTTTCCAATGTTTACTGAGGTAATAAATCAAGAGAGAAGTAGAGTCATTTTCTCATAGACTTCTATACTATTAGACTTTGTTTTGCAACCAGAGGAGTCGCCCGATGCTGGCCCGTAGAGAGAATGCTAGTTTAAGACACTTCTTCAGAACCGGAGGTTGCTGCCTGGTTGCAGCTAAGCTTCTGCATCAATTCCGTAGTTGCAATACTTCTGGGAAGCTTGTGGAAAGCTTCCGCAGAGCCGCAGAGCCAGGTTTGCGGAGCTCGCAGAGAGCCTCCTCATAACGAAAAAAATGCGATGCATAGTACCTCGCATCCTGTTACAACAACAACCTTATTAATTCTAGGCACAGGAGCTCCACCTTATTGTCCAACTCTTCCTTAATGTTTCTTTTTTTACAGCCATTGAGTTGTGTTGGGCCAAACTCATATGGAACTATTGAATCACCTCTATCGAATACATCAAAGCCCACCTGACAAAAGACCACAGGTCCAAATCAGAAGGAATTACGTGTTAATGCATGAGCGCACAGCCGCAGGAGTATGAATCAGGAATAATATGCACTATAAAGGATGCACACACTTGCCCGGCTATGTCAACAAAGCAAGGAGAACCTCGGACAGCATCACACACAGAGGGAGAGTGACTTTCTCTGCTCAGGTAAATATTGCTCCACTCTATCTTTACATCGCAAATAGTTAATTGCCGGCTGTATTAAACACTGCTACAACTTCATTTTTACTCTGATGGGTGACAGGGTGGCTCTGCTAAGTTCATCACTAGCCATGTGTCCTGTCATAATGTAAAGATAAAGCATTAGCTACATGCTGGTGAATTGTACATGTGGCAGAAAATCAGAGACTTGAGGGAATAGTTTGACATGGTGAGTAATGCACATACAAGTATTTGATTTCTTGCTGAGAGTTAGATGAGAAGATTGATACCAAGCTCATGGACAAAAAACTACAGCCGGGAGGGGACTGTTAGCTTAGCATTTGTCCAAAGGTAACAAAATAATCAGCCTACCAGGAAACCTCTAAAGCTCCCTTATTAACACAGTATATATTGTTATGAAGCGAATAAGCGTATTTCCCAAAGTGTGGAACTATTTCTATATTGTAGACAAGGAAGAAAGGCTCAGCTACTATTTTTCCTCCACGTGGAGGGAAACTGTCTCGGCTGCAGCACTCTGGCCTGTGGCCGACCAACCCAGCAGCTACTGAAAACACAGACCACAGGAAGAGGCACCGAGAAACCAAAGTGTCCATCATCAAACCACACAGCCAATGAAGGAAAGCCGAAACCTGATTCTACACTTACACACACACACACACACACACACACACACACACACACACATGCATACAGTGGGTTTACGCCTCATTGTGCATGAAAACTAATTTTACAATTCCAATAATTTTCATTTCTATTATCCTCAACATCTATTGCTATTGCAGGTTTATTCCAGCTATATTTCACACTAATGAACGCACACAGACTCACGAGCGCAGGCAGAGAGAAATACTAGCAGCTTTAGGAATTGACTGTCGGAGTGCCAACCCTCCAATGAACTGAAGCTGACTACCAAAGATGTCCAGGCAGACATGACAGAAATGACAATCACACAGGCCCGTGCTGTGCAAGGGCACAAAAACATCACAAAGGACACCTGTGCACATGCATGTGCACGCACACACACAGCAATGCTACAAAAAAAACGAATACATGCACTGGTACATACATTCTAAAAAGGACATTAATATACATGCATGCGCACGGGAATATAACAAAGAGGTTCATGCATGCAAACACAATATAGACAATATTATGAAGCTCCAACCACAGACACACACACAGACACACACACACACCAAATCAAGTTTAGATGAAGAAAATGAATGGGAGCGCCTGGAGCATGTGGTCTATGTGTGTGTATGAATCCTTAGCTCACATTGAGCTGTCTGTCTCAGCCTGCACTAAGCAAACAGCAGGGAGGGAGAGGCCTTCATGAAAACACTGAAGAAACTGGGAACAGTGGGAGCACACCCACACACACACACACACACACACACACTTGTGTTCCTGACAGGCAGCAGACATACAGCATTCCTAAAAAGCACAGCCACCCCACCAGGCCCACGGTGGGTCAGCTATTGTCTGAATCTCTGGGCGATTCCTCAAGCCCCATCCAGCAGAGGCCGTCCACTTCAGCACATACTGAGTCCAGTGTTGAATCCACACACTGCTAAAACAGACAGACACACACACACACTGCCGGTAGCATTCCTGTGGTTACGGTGCAATTAACCAAACCAATTAGCTGGTTCCTCGACCAATAGAGAAAACAGAGGGCTCCCCCTAGAGGTGAAATTGAATCATTGGAAAAACTGATGAGAAATATGAGGAAATTATGAAAATTAGTCCACAATTTAAAAAATAAAAAAATGATCGTGAACGCCAACAAAGGATTTCATTTTAATGGTGGATTGCAACTGGGTGAAATTAGGTAATTAAACTGGGAGGAAATGAAGTATTCCAAATGTAAATGGCTCTACGAGGGCTGAAGGCAGATTGTATGGGAGTGATTTGCACTTTAGATTTGTTAGCAAATGATGCCGAGGCAATGGCTGTAGACTGTTAGCTCTGTGTGTGTGTGTGTGTGTGTGTGTGTGTGTGTGTGTGTGTGTGTGTGTGTGTGTATGGGTTAGCTTTAAGCCTGTGAAAACACTTGCGCCTGCAGACCCAAGTCTGTACACCTGGTCGACACACCTGTCTCATCCACCATTGTCCATCTGTGCAGTTACTCACACAGTCACACACACGCACACACACATTGGTGTTGTCTGGCCTACGGAGCTTTGTGTGCGTGTGTTTGTGTGTGTGCAGAGTGGAGAACGGTCAGGATGCCTACTGTACTGTTCCTCCCCTCCCCCCAAACCCAGCCTCCATGGCTGAACTCAACAGATTAAACTATGCAATGTAACCCTTACCAATCCACCCCTCCCCCCCCCCCCCCCCCCCCACATCCCCCCATCCTCACCACCCTCAATTCAATTTTTACTCTCTCTCTCTCTCTATCAATCACTCACTCACTCTCTCACTCTCTCTCTATCTCTCTCTCTCTCTCAGTGAAATGATTTGTCTTTTTTCTCTCTTCTACCATTCTCTGTGCATGTGCACGTGAACACATTTCCCTGTTCTTCTGATGATTGCTAGGCTGCAGTGGCAAGGAGATATATATATATATATACACAGTATATCAGTGAATACTAAAATACATTGGATAATGCTGCACACGTACAACCACACCAATGCACGTGCACAAACGCAAACATGCACCCTGAAAATACAGTTCGACAATTTAAAGGGAACACACATTGGAGTGCATTGTGTGTGTGTGTTTGTGTGTGTAGTGTCAGAGTGCATGTCAGTCTCCAAGACAAAGAGGCCACACACTCTATCTGACAGTGACAGACAGACAAATGGACAGACAGGAGTGTGTGTGTGTGTGTGTTTGTGTGTGTGTGTGTGTGTGTGTGTGTGTGTGTGTGTGTGTGTGTGTGTGTGGCAGGGTATATGCAGGAGTGGACGTCTGTGCAGGAGCAGACGTCTGCCACATAACCAGCTGAAAAATGTCAGTTTGCTCAAATTGCTGTCACAGCACTGCATCTGTGTGTGTGTGTGTGTGTGTGTGTGTGTGTGTACATGTGTGCGTGTGTGTCTGCTACTGCCTGTTTGCATATTTGAACATGACGAGAGATTTGACACACAGAAAGTGAGGAGGGCAGACAGCAGCAGCTCATGTCACATCTGTCAAAAGGTTTGTGTTACCTGCTACGTGGGATTTTAATGAAGAGTTGCGTTTCATTTCCTGTGTGTGTGTGTACGTGTGTGTGTGCGTGTGTGTGTGTGTGCGTGTCTCCCTTGTTGTCCACTGGGTGTGGTTATCTTGGAGTCACTATAAAACTGAATCATGGGCCTCTCTGTGTGAATGTAACTATGTGTGCACGTTTTCTGTTTGTGGGTATTTGTCTGCAATACTTACACATGTTCTCATCCGTGCATTTCAGCATGCTGAGTATTTGTGTTTGTGTGTGCTGGTCTATGTGTGTGGATGTATGTAGCCCGTAGCTAGCTGCAGTGTGTATTGAGGGCAGTACATCAGGGTAAGGCAATCTGCCTCTGAACAGCTCCTTCAGGTGAGATTTATCACCACTGCACTTGGCCTCTTATTATGGCGATGGATTCCCTACCTCTGTATCTGGGTGCACGTGTGGGTGCACGTGTGAGTGCATATGTGTGTGTGTGTGTGTTTTCTTAGCCCCCACCTCACCCTCCACCTCCTCAGTCTGTATCCTTATTAAAGTGCTGCAGAGGGAAGCAGACATTGGTTTGTGTTGACTCCACCCTCAACAACTCCTGATAGGGATCCACTGGACACGCACGCTGGGAATAATATAAATGGGGAATGACAACAGAGAGGAAATAACGCTGAGGAGAGGAGAGATTTGGGTTGATTAATTCTCCCACCACACCTTTTGCATTTGGACTACAAGTTTGCGACCAAACAAAACTACAAATTCCAATTTTCCTCGGTGGAAATCACGCAAGGTCCCAAAGCAGTGGAGCTGACTGACAGTCAGTTAGGTAGCACTGGAGAAATAGGTCATAGAGCTAAAAATACTTATCTATGTCTCTCTCTCTCATTCTCTCTCTATCCTGTCTTCTAAAAACACACACAAAGTAAAACAGATAGAAAGTCTAAATAAGGGGCTGATGAAAGGAATAACTGAAAAAGAAATACCCTTAAAAACATCAGACCTCAGGCTTAGCCTACTCCCGTACGAATGAAGAAAAAACAGAGCAAGAAAGGGAATGAGAGAGTGCAACTGTGTGTGCTTCCCATTCTGTGTGTGTGTGTGTGTGTGTGTGTGTGTGTGTGTGTGTG